CGTTATCTTAACGACATCTCCGGCGATCGAGAAACTCGGTCGTTACGAATTAAAGGCACGATCGAGACCTTTAATAGATTCGGTGCGCTGGCCGCGAAAATAATTAACGTCGGGGATTATTAAAGGAGCATCGAGTAGAATTAATTGAGCGAATTATCCCGCGCCGGGATAAAAGGAGTTAGAAAAATTCCCCTTAATTGCGCGCGGATATGAAGACGAAACTTTGATGATGTGTAATTAAACGGTAATTAAGTAAACAGAGCACTCGGTAGCGGTAGTTTGACCGAGAAAACTTGCACGGGGCCAGGAGCGGGGAATTTTATCCGGCAGTCACCGGAAGACAAACTGAAACTCTGCTACACATCGCCGAATAATTTCACCTTTTGTTCGGATAATTATCCGACCACGTGTCTCGGGCGAATCTCGATTCTCCGGGACAAGAACGAATTTAACGATCGCTTATGTAGCTTTCCGACTGTGTAATTGGATCGACGAGTAGACTCGAAACGAGTCGAGTTGCCTTCTTCTCCTTTCTTTTCCGATAACCACGATAAACACGAGGGAGAAGTGGTTATCTACGTACGTGGCTGGAGCCTGCGCCGCGCGTTTGTAAATTGAAAATAAGACGACCCCGATTTTAATCCAGGTAAATATTACGGGAAACTTGCGCTTTCCCGAGCACGACGATATCGTAAATTTCCTCGATGTAACACGGAAATAATCACACGCGCGAAGCACACGCGCTGCAAGCCCGTGCCACAACGTGTCGTAACGCTTTAATAACGAAATTCCATCCGGTCGATTTGAAGCTATCACCGGGCCGCGAGCAGCGTTGGTTATAAAAATAACGTGTAGCTTGGCAAATATAGCGGCGGTGTTCTGTATACGAGAACAAGCCGAGAGAAGCATTTTAGAATTGAGTTACTCCGGCCATTGGGAAGCAATGAAGCATCCCGCGCGAATTTGCCCCCGAGTTTGCGCCAGCTTTGCTAGGCCGTTGCTTTGGTATCGTTTCGTAGCTCGGCACAAAAGAACCGGAGCCCAGCACCGTGATACCGAATCAATTTTTCTATGACCGATTTTCTCCTCGTCGAACATTTTCCGCCTATCGAATGCGAGCACTCGGATTAAAAAGAAAAACCGAAGAAAGAAACTTATCGACGCGACGGTAGCTTTGGCAAATTTCCGTACTTCCGTTTGCGACACAGGCGGCC